TTATATACTGCAGATATTTTAAATAAATGTTTTTTCTCCTTAACTTTCAAATTATGGAATCATTAGACTGGATCGATCTGCAAATGTAAGTTTAATAAAATGTTTCAAAGTACTTTTTGTTTTATGCTGTTTGTTTTTGGTTTGGCGCTGTCAATATTTCAGTTTTAGCTCTATGTGTCTTTGGCGTGGCTCTTGGTTTTACCTCAAGCGAAGGTAACAGATACAAATTCGCATCTGTTGATTTAAGTTTTTAATCCTATTGAGGTGTGATGTTTCTTTGCTTTAAAAGTTTCAATTTTAGCTATAAAGTATAAGATAAAGACTAGCTATAGCTATAAAGTATAGATGTAAAATATGGAAAAGAAACATTAAACTCACTGATTGCCAAAATTTGTAAGCTTCTTTTTAATTATATGTAAAATGTCAATTGATGATTTTTTTGTTTTGTTTTTTGTTTTGATTTTTAGATGTTTTTTTTTTTTTTTTTTTTTCTTTTTCCACTAACGAGTTCCTATTTAGAGCAGTTTACAAACATAGAACAGAGGTCTAGTGAACATATCGTGGTTTGTAAGCTATTCACTTGAGGTCTTTTTAAAGCAATGCATGATTTTCAATTCTTGTACTACAAGTATTAAAAGTAATGATTTCAAACAATGTTTTTCTGTTTTGTTTTTTGCTAACAATTTTATTATTAGCCCGAAGAACACTCTCTTTTAAAAAACCAAGTTCAATCATTGTGAACAGAATAAACGATCAGCTTTTAGTAAAGTACTTTCTTTTACCTTAATCTTGTTTTTAATGTCAAATTATAGACTGTCAAAGAGCAAAATTATAAATGTTGTATTTGCCGATTCAAAATGCTGTTTATTTAGGTTTTAGGTTAAAGTTTTTTTGTATTAGTGCAATTTTAAAGTAATGGTCTCCTGTATAAGGCTATTAATACGTTTACAGTTAGACAAATGTTCTGTTTTACCGTTTCCTAAAATGTGCAGTAAGACTGGTAATTTTGTTTTGTTCTTATCATGTTATTGTTTTTGTTTTGTTTTTTTCACATAAAGTTTTTTGCATTAAACAAGAAAATATTGATTGGTGGTCTGTTTAGTTTTGCGTGTATGATCCAAACGCAGTTTGTTTCATTTAAGTGCGTCTTCCTACATGCTAAGTATATGCTTCAATTATTTGTTTTCGGGTCACAAATGTTTTTTTATTTTCTTTATATATCGTTTTGGGGTTGGGTGTTAATCAGATTTAATTTTAGTGTGTCGCAAAGACAAAGAAGTGGTGTGGCTCACGTTATAATGTCAAACAAACTATCCTTTTACGTAAGCAATTGATTCTTATAAGAAATTAGCGAATTTTTGTTCTTTATTTGCATGTCTTAAAAGCATAGTGGTCAGAATAATGATTAGTTTTTTTTTTAATTTTTTTTTGATTTGTTTTATTTAAGTTTAATAAACCGATAAGAAACAAAATAAAAAAAAAAAAAACAACAAACAAAATAAAATGTGTTTTGCTATGCTAACAATTTTTTTTTCCAGCTCATACATGTATTTTCAAAAATACACAAAATTTATAGAAATCATTGCCTGCTTCTAAACTTGATGTCTGTGTAATAAAGCTCTAAACTAAGAAAATAATAGAGCAATAAGATTCAGCCAAAGTAAGTAAAATTCAGTTTAACTATTATGTAGACAAGTGAAATGTTTCAAGTTACATTTTGTTTCTTTCTAATCGTTTTTTGTTTTAGCCCTTGCAATTTTTTTTTTTCTTCTCGAATTCTTTATTACATGGTTTTTGTATGTATTTTCACACTTGTTTTTATCCAAGTTATGGTAACAATTATATTATTGCATCAGAAATTTCATGTTTTCAATAGTGTTATAGTGTGCTGTTTGCTTGTTTAACTGGTTACAGTTTTAGTTATAAAGTATAAAGTAAATGGTCAATGCAAATAAGAATTATGAATGTCACTCCAGCGATCATTTTGTAAGCTACTTAGTAGTTAGATGTGAAGCTTTTTAATATTTTGTTTTTCTTTTCTTATTTTCTTTTCCCTTTAATCATTTCATGTTTAGTGCAATAAAAGACAAAGCGGTGGTCTTGCTTTTATCAAGTAAATAATAAACTAACAGTTTAGAAATGAGAATCTCTTTACATTGTGCAACGAGAAATCAATTGTTTTTTGTTTTTTTTATTGAAGTTTAATGTTTGGCTTGCTTCTTTGCTAACATTTGTTTTAGTAGTTCGTTAAAATATTTGACAAAAAAGCGATAAATTTATATACTGCAGATATTTTAAATAAATGTTTTTTCTCCTTAACTTTCAAATTATGGAATCATTAGACTGGATCGATCTGCAAATGTAAGTTTAATAAAATGTTTCAAAGTACTTTTTGTTTTATGCTGTTTGTTTTTGGTTTGGCGCTGTCAATATTTCAGTTTTAGCTCTATGTGTCTTTGGCGTGGCTCTTGGTTTTACCTCAAGCGAAGGTAACAGATACAAATTCGCATCTGTTGATTTAAGTTTTTAATCCTATTGAGGTGTGATGTTTCTTTGCTTTAAAAGTTTCAATTTTAGCTATAAAGTATAAGATAAAGACTAGCTATAGCTATAAAGTATAGATGTAAAATATGGAAAAGAAACATTAAACTCACTTATTGCCAAAATTTGTAAGCTTCTTTTTAATTATATGTAAAATGTCAATTGATGATTTTTTTGTTTTGTTTTTTGTTTTGATTTTTAGATGTTTTTTTTTTTTTTTTTTTTTCTTTTTCCACTAACGAGTTCCTATTTAGAGCAGTTTACAAACATAGAACAGAGGTCTAGTGAACATATCGTGGTTTGTAAGCTATTCACTTGAGGTCTTTTTAAAGCAATGCATGATTTTCAATTCTTGTACTACAAGTATTAAAAGTAATGATTTCAAACAATGTTTTTCTGTTTTGTTTTTTGCTAACAATTTTATTATTAGCCCGAAGAACACTCTCTTTTAAAAAACCAAGTTCAATCATTGTGAACAGAATAAACGATCAGCTTTTAGTAAAGTACTTTCTTTTACCTAAATCTTGTTTTTAATGTCAAATTAAAGACTGCCAAAGAGCAAAATTATAAATGTTGTATTTGCCGATTCAAAATGCTGTTTATTTAGGTTTTAGGTTAAAGTTTTTTTGTATTAGTGCAATTTTAAAGTAATGGTCTCCTGTATAAGGCTATTAATACGTTTACAGTTAGACAAATGTTCTGTTTTACCGTTTCCTAAAATGTGCAGTAAGACTGGTAATTTTGTTTTGTTCTTATCATGTTATTGTTTTTGTTTTGTTTTTTTCACATAAAGTTTTTTGCATTAAACAAGAAAATATTGATTGGTGGTCTGTTTAGTTTTGCGTGTATGATCCAAACGCAGTTTGTTTCATTTAAGTGCGTCTTCCTACATGCTAAGTATATGCTTCAATTATTTGTTTTTGTGGTCACAAATGTTTTTTTATTTTCTTTATATATCGTTTTGGGGTTGGGTGTTAATCAGATTTAATTTTAGTGTGTCGCAAAGACAAAGAAGTGGTGTGGCTCACGTTATAATGTCAAACAAACTATCCTTTTACGTAAGCAATTGATTCTTATAAGAAATTAGCGAATTTTTGTTCTTTATTTGCATGTCTTAAAAGCATAGTGGTCAGAATAATGATTAGTTTTTTTTTAATTTTTTTTTGATTTGTTTTATTTAAGTTTAATAAACCGATTAGAAACAAAATGAAAAAAAAACAAACAAACAAAATAAAATGTGTTTTGCTATGCTAACAATTTTTTTTTCCAGCTCATACATGTATTTTCAAAAATACACAAAATTTATAGAAATCATTGCCTGCTTCTAAACTTGATGTCTGTGTAATAAAGCTATAAACTAAGAAAATAATAGAGCAATAAGATTCAGCCAAAGTAAGTAAAATTCAGTTTAACTATTATGTAGACAAGTGAAATGTTTCAAGTTACATTTTGTTTCTTTCTAATCGTTTTTTGTTTTAGCCCTTGCAGTTTTTTTTTCTTCTCGAATTCTTTATTACATGGTTTTTGTATGTATTTTCACACTTGTTTTTATCCAAGTTATGGTAACAATTATATTATTGCATCAGAAATTTCATGTTTTCAATAGTGTTATAGTGTGCTGTTTGCTTGTTTAACTGGTTACAATTTTAGTTATAAAGTATAAAGTAAATGGTCAATGCAAATAAGAATTATGAATGTCACTCCAGCGATCATTTTGTAAGCTACTTAGTAGTTAGATGTGAAGCTTTTTAATATTTTGTTTTTCTTTTCTTATTTTCTTTTCCCTTTAATCATTTCATGTTTAGTGCAATAAAAGACAAAGCGGTGGTCTTGCTTTTATCAAGTAAATAATAAACTAACAGTTTAGAAATGAGAATCTCTTTACATTGTGCAACGAGAAATCAATTGTTTTTTGTTTTTTTTATTGAAGTTTAATGTTTGGCTTGCTTCTTTGCTAACATTTGTTTTAGTAGTTCGTTAAAATATTTGACAAAAAAGCGATAAATTTATATACTGCAGATATTTTAAATAAATGTTTTTTCTCCTTAACTTTCAAATTATGGAATCATTAGACTGGATCGATCTGCAAATGTAAGTTTAATAAAATGTTTCAAAGTACTTTTTGTTTTATGCTGTTTGTTTTTGGTTTGGCGCTGTCAATATTTCAGTTTTAGCTCTATGTGTCTTTGGCGTGGCTCTTGGTTTTACCTCAAGCGAAGGTAACAGATACAAATTCGCATCTGTTGATTTAAGTTTTTAATCCTATTGAGGTGTGATGTTTCTTTGCTTTAAAAGTTTCAATTTTAGCTATAAAGTATAAGATAAAGACTAGCTATAGCTATAAAGTATAGATGTAAAATATGGAAAAGAAACATTAAACTCACTGATTGCCAAAATTTGTAAGCTTCTTTTTAATTATATGTAAAATGTCAATTGATGATTTTTTTGTTTTGTTTTTTGTTTTGATTTTTAGATGTTTTTTTTTTTTTTTTTTTCTTCTTTTTCCACTAACGAGTTCCTATTTAGAGCAGTTTACAAACATAGAACAGAGGTCTAGTGAACATATCGTGGTTTGTAAGCTATTCACTTGAGGTCTTTTTAAAGCAATGCATGATTTTCAATTCTTGTACTACAAGTATTAAAAGTAATGATTTCAAACAATGTTTTTCTGTTTTGTTTTTTGCTAACAATTTTATTATTAGCCCGAAGAACACTCTCTTTTAAAAAACCAAGTTCAATCATTGTGAACAGAATAAACGATCAGCTTTTAGTAAAGTACTTTCTTTTACCTAAATCTTGTTTTTAATGTCAAATTATAGACTGCCAAAGAGCAAAATTATAAATGTTGTATTTGCCGATTCAAAATGCTGTTTATTTAGGTTTTAGGTTAAAGTTTTTTTGTATTAGTGCAATTTTAAAGTAATGGTCTCCTGTATAAGGCTATTAATACGTTTACAGTTAGACAAATGTTCTGTTTTACCGTTTCCTAAAATGTGCAGTAAGACTGGTAATTTTGTTTTGTTCTTATCATGTTATTGTTTTTGTTTTGTTTTTTTCACATAAAGTTTTTTGCATTAAACAAGAAAATATTGATTGGTGGTCTGTTTAGTTTTGCGTGTATGATCCAAACGCAGTTTGTTTCATTTAAGTGCGTCTTCCTACATGCTAAGTATATGCTTCAATTATTTGTTTTTGTGGTCACAAATGTTTTTTTATTTTCTTTATATATCGTTTTGGGGTTGGGTGTTAATCAGATTTAATTTTAGTGTGTCGCAAAGACAAAGAAGTGGTGTGGCTCACGTTATAATGTCAAACAAACTATCCTTTTACGTAAGCAATTGATTCTTATAAGAAATTAGCGAATTTTTGTTCTTTATTTGCATGTCTTAAAAGCATAGTGGTCAGAATAATGATTAGTTTTTTTTTAATTTTTTTTTGATTTGTTTTATTTAAGTTTAATAAACCGATAAGAAACAAAATGGAAAAAAAAAAAAACAACAAACAAAATAAAATGTGTTTTGCTATGCTAACAATTTTTTTTTCCAGCTCATACATGTATTTTCAAAAATACACAAAATTTATAGAAATCATTGCCTGCTTCTAAACTTGATGTCTGTGTAATAAAGCTCTAAACTAAGAAAATAATAGAGCAATAAGATTCAGCCAAAGTAAGTAAAATTCAGTTTAACTATTATGTAGACAAGTGAAATGTTTCAAGTTACATTTTGTTTCTTTCTAATCGTTTTTTGTTTTAGCCCTTGCAATTTTTTTTTCTTCTCGAATTCTTTATTACATGGTTTTTGTATGTATTTTCACACTTGTTTTTATCCAAGTTATGGTAACAATTATATTATTGCATCAGAAATTTCATGTTTTCAATAGTGTTATAGTGTGCTGTTTGCTTGTTTAACTGGTTACAATTTTAGTTATAAAGTATAAAGTAAATGGTCAATGCAAATAAGAATTATGAATGTCACTCCAGCGATCATTTTGTAAGCTACTTAGTAGTTAGATGTGAAGCTTTTTAATATTTTGTTTTTCTTTTCTTATTTTCTTTTCCCTTTAATCATTTCATGTTTAGTGCAATAAAAGACAAAGCGGTGGTCTTGCTTTTATCAAGTAAATAATAAACTAACAGTTTAGAAATGAGAATCTCTTTACATTGTGCAACGAGAAATCAATTGTTTTTTGTTTTTTTTATTGAAGTTTAATGTTTGGCTTGCTTCTTTGCTAACATTTGTTTTAGTAGTTCGTTAAAATATTTGACAAAAAAGCGATAAATTTATATACTGCAGATATTTTAAATAAATGTTTTTTCTCCTTAACTTTCAAATTATGGAATCATTAGACTGGATCGATCTGCAAATGTAAGTTTAATAAAATGTTTCAAAGTACTTTTTGTTTTATGCTGTTTGTTTTTGGTTTGGCGCTGTCAATATTTCAGTTTTAGCTCTATGTGTCTTTGGCGTGGCTCTTGGTTTTACCTCAAGCGAAGGTAACAGATACAAATTCGCATCTGTTGATTTAAGTTTTTAATCCTATTGAGGTGTGATGTTTCTTTGCTTTAAAAGTTTCAATTTTAGCTATAAAGTATAAGATAAAGACTAGCTATAGCTATAAAGTATAGATGTAAAATATGGAAAAGAAACATTAAACTCACTGATTGCCAAAATTTGTAAGCTTCTTTTTAATTATATGTAAAAGGTCAATTGATGATTTTTTTGTTTTGTTTTTTGTTTTGATTTTTAGATGTTTTTTTTTTTTTTTTTTTTTCTTTTTCCACTAACGAGTTCCTATTTAGAGCAGTTTACAAACATAGAACAGAGGTCTAGTGAACATATCGTGGTTTGTAAGCTATTCACTTGAGGTCTTTTTAAAGCAATGCATGATTTTCAATTCTTGTACTACAAGTATTAAAAGTAATGATTTCAAACAATGTTTTTCTGTTTTGTTTTTTGCTAACAATTTTATTATTAGCCCGAAGAACACTCTCTTTTCAAAAACCAAGTTCAATCATTGTGAACAGAATAAACGATCAGCTTTTAGTAAAGTACTTTCTTTTACCTAAATCTTGTTTTTAATGTCAAATTAAAGACTGCCAAAGAGCAAAATTATAAATGTTGTATTTGCCGATTCAAAATGCTGTTTATTTAGGTTTTAGGTTAAAGTTTTTTTGTATTAGTGCAATTTTAAAGTAATGGTCTCCTGTATAAGGCTATTAATACGTTTACAGTTAGACAAATGTTCTGTTTTACCGTTTCCTAAAATGTGCAGTAAGACTGGTAATTTTGTTTTGTTCTTATCATGTTATTGTTTTTGTTTTGTTTTTTTCACATAAAGTTTTTTGCATTAAACAAGAAAATATTGATTGGTGGTCTGTTTAGTTTTGCGTGTATGATCCAAACGCAGTTTGTTTCATTTAAGTGCGTCTTCCTACATGCTAAGTATATGCTTCAATTATTTGTTTTTGTGGTCACAAATGTTTTTTTATTTTCTTTATATATCGTTTTGGGGTTGGGTGTTAATCAGATTTAATTTTAGTGTGTCGCAAAGACAAAGAAGTGGTGTGGCTCACGTTATAATGTCAAACAAACTATCCTTTTACGTAAGCAATTGATTCTTATAAGAAATTAGCGAATTTTTGTTCTTTATTTGCATGTCTTAAAAGCATAGTGGTCAGAATAATGATTAGTTTTTTTTTAATTTTTTTTTGATTTGTTTTATTTAAGTTTAATAAACCGATAAGAAACAAAATGAAAAAAAATAAAACAACAAACAAAATAAAATGTGTTTTGCTATGCTAACAATTTTTTTTTCCAGCTCATACATGTATTTTCAAAAATACACAAAATTTATAGAAATCATTGCCTGCTTCTAAACTTGATGTCTGTGTAATAAAGCTCTAAACTAAGAAAATAATAGAGCAATAAGATTCAGCCAAAGTAAGTAAAATTCAGTTTAACTATTATGTAGACAAGTGAAATGTTTCAAGTTACATTTTGTTTCTTTCTAATCGTTTTTTGTTTTAGCCCTTGCAATTTTTTTTTCTTCTCGAATTCTTTATTACATGGTTTTTGTATGTATTTTCACACTTGTTTTTATCCAAGTTATGGTAACAATTATATTATTGCATCAGATGTTTCATGTTTTCAATAGTGTTATAGTGTGCTGTTTGCTTGTTTAACTGGTTACAATTTTAGTTATAAAGTATAAAGTAAATGGTCAATGCAAATAAGAATTATGAATGTCACTCCAGCGATCATTTTGTAAGCTACTTAGTAGTTAGATGTGAAGCTTTTTAATATTTTGTTTTTCTTTTCTTATTTTCTTTTCCCTTTAATCATTTCATGTTTAGTGCAATAAAAGACAAAGCGGTGGTCTTGCTTTTATCAAGTAAATAATAAACTAACAGTTTAGAAATGAGAATCTCTTTACATTGTGCAACGAGAAATCAATTGTTTTTTTTTTTTTTTATTGAAGTTTAATGTTTGGCTAGCTTTTTTGCTAACATTTGTTTTAGTAGTTCGTTAAAATATTTGACAAAAAAGCGATAAATTTATATACTGCAGATATTTTAAATAAATGTTTTTTCTCCTTAACTTTCAAATTATGGAATCATTAGACTGGATCGATCTGCAAATGTAAGTTTAATAAAATGTTTCAAAGTACTTTTTGTTTTATGCTGTTTGTTTTTGGTTTGGCGCTGTCAATATTTCAGTTTTAGCTCTATGTGTCTTTGGCGTGGCTCTTGGTTTTACCTCAAGCGAAGGTAACAGATACAAATTCGCATCTGTTGATTTAAGTTTTTAATCCTATTGAGGTGTGATGTTTCTTTGCTTTAAAAGTTTCAATTTTAGCTATAAAGTATAAGATAAAGACTAGCTATAGCTATAAAGTATAGATGTAAAATATGGAAAAGAAACATTAAACTCACTGATTGCCAAAATTTGTAAGCTTCTTTTTAATTATATGTAAAAGGTCAATTGATGATTTTTTTGTTTTGTTTTTTGTTTTGATTTTTAGATGTTTTTTTTTTTTTTTTTTTTTCTTTTTCCACTAACGAGTTCCTATTTAGAGCAGTTTACAAACATAGAACAGAGGTCTAGTGAACATATCGTGGTTTGTAAGCTATTCACTTGAGGTCTTTTTAAAGCAATGCATGATTTTCAATTCTTGTACTACAAGTATTAAAAGTAATGATTTCAAACAATGTTTTTCTGTTTTGTTTTTTGCTAACAATTTTATTATTAGCCCGAAGAACACTCTCTTTTAAAAAACCAAGTTCAATCATTGTGAACAGAATAAACGATCAGCTTTTAGTAAAGTACTTTCTTTTACCTAAATCTTGTTTTTAATGTCAAATTATAGACTGCCAAAGAGCAAAATTATAAATGTTGTATTTGCCGATTCAAAATGCTTTTTATTTAGGTTTTAGGTTAAAGTTTTTTTGTATTAGTGCAATTTTAAAGTAATGGTCTCCTGTATAAGGCTATTAATACGTTTACAGTTAGACAAATGTTCTGTTTTACCGTTTCCTAAAATGTGCAGTAAGACTGGTAATTTTGTTTTGTTCTTATCATGTTATTGTTTTTGTTTTGTTTTTTTCACATAAAGTTTTTTGCATTAAACAAGAAAATATTGATTGGTGGTCTGTTTAGTTTTGCGTGTATGATCCAAACGCAGTTTGTTTCATTTAAGTGCGTCTTCCTACATGCTAAGTATATGCTTCAATTATTTGTTTTTGTGGTCACAAATGTTTTTTTATTTTCTTTATATATCGTTTTGGGGTTGGGTGTTAATCAGATTTAATTTTAGTGTGTCGCAAAGACAAAGAAGTGGTGTGGCTCACGTTATAATGTCAAACAAACTATCCTTTTACGTAAGCAATTGATTCTTATAAGAAATTAGCGAATTTTTGTTCTTTATTTGCATGTCTTAAAAGCATAGTGGTCAGAATAATGATTAGTTTTTTTTTAATTTTTTTTTGATTTGTTTTATTTAAGTTTAATAAACCGATAAGAAACAAAATGAAAAAAAAAAAAACAACAAACAAAATAAAATGTGTTTTGCTATGCTAACAATTTTTTTTTCCAGCTCATACATGTATTTTCAAAAATACACAAAATTTATAGAAATCATTGCCTGCTTCTAAACTTGATGTCTGTGTAATAAAGCTCTAAACTAAGAAAATAATAGAGCAATAAGATTCAGCCAAAGTAAGTAAAATTCAGTTTAACTATTATGTAGACAAGTGAAATGTTTCAAGTTACATTTTGTTTCTTTCTAATCGTTTTTTGTTTTAGCCCTTGCAATTTTTTTTTCTTCTCGAATTCTTTATTACATGGTTTTTGTATGTATTTTCACACTTGTTTTTATCCAAGTTATGGTAACAATTATATTATTGCATCAGAAATTTCATGTTTTCAATAGTGTTATAGTGTGCTGTTTGCTTGTTTAACTGGTTACAATTTTAGTTATAAAGTATAAAGTAAATGGTCAATGCAAATAAGAATTATGAATGTCACTCCAGCGATCATTTTGTAAGCTACTTAGTAGTTAGATGTGAAGCTTTTTAATATTTTGTTTTTCTTTTCTTATTTTCTTTTCCCTTTAATCATTTCATGTTTAGTGCAATAAAAGACAAAGCGGTGGTCTTGCTTTTATCAAGTAAATAATAAACTAACAGTTTAGAAATGAGAATCTCTTTACATTGTGCAACGAGAAATCAATTGTTTTTTGTTTTTTTTATTGAAGTTTAATGTTTGGCTAGCTTTTTTGCTAACATTTGTTTTAGTAGTTCGTTAAAATATTTGACAAAAAAGCGATAAATTTATATACTGCAGATATTTTAAATAAATGTTTTTTCTCCTTAACTTTCAAATTATGGAATCATTAGACTGGATCGATCTGCAAATGTAAGTTTAATAAAATGTTTCAAAGTACTTTTTGTTTTATGCTGTTTGTTTTTGGTTTGGCGCTGTCAATATTTCAGTTTTAGCTCTATGTGTCTTTGGCGTGGCTCTTGGTTTTACCTCAAGCGAAGGTAACAGATACAAATTCGCATCTGTTGATTTAAGTTTTTAATCCTATTGAGGTGTGATGTTTCTTTGCTTTAAAAGTTTCAATTTTAGCTATAAAGTATAAGATAAAGACTAGCTATAGCTATAAAGTATAGATGTAAAATATGGAAAAGAAACATTAAACTCACTGATTGCCAAAATTTGTAAGCTTCTTTTTAATTATATGTAAAATGTCAATTGATGATTTTTTTGTTTTGTTTTTTGTTTTGATTTTTAGATGTTTTTTTTTTTTTTTTTTTTTCTTTTTCCACTAACGAGTTCCTATTTAGAGCAGTTTACAAACATAGAACAGAGGTCTAGTGAACATATCGTGGTTTGTAAGCTATTCACTTGAGGTCTTTTTAAAGCAATGCATGATTTTCAATTCTTGTACTACAAGTATTAAAAGTAATGATTTCAAACAATGTTTTTCTGTTTTGTTTTTTGCTAACAATTTTATTATTAGCCCGAAGAACACTCTCTTTTAAAAAACCAAGTTCAATCATTGTGAACAGAATAAACGATCAGCTTTTAGTAAAGTACTTTCTTTTACCTAAATCTTGTTTTTAATGTCAAATTATAGACTGCCAAAGAGCAAAATTATAAATGTTGTATTTGCCGATTCAAAATGCTGTTTATTTAGGTTTTAGGTTAAAGTTTTTTTGTATTAGTGCAATTTTAAAGTAATGGTCTCCTGTATAAGGCTATTAATACGTTTACAGTTAGACAAATGTTCTGTTTTACCGTTTCCTAAAATGTGCAGTAAGACTGGTAATTTTGTTTTGTTCTTATCATGTTATTGTTTTTGTTTTGTTTTTTTCACATAAAGTTTTTTGCATTAAACAAGAAAATATTGATTGGTGGTCTGTTTAGTTTTGCGTGTATGATCCAAACGCAGTTTGTTTCATTTAAGTGCGTCTTCCTCCATGCTAAGTATATGCTTCAATTATTTGTTTTTGTGGTCACAAATGTTTTTTTATTTTCTTTATATATCCTTTTGGGGTTGGGTGTTAATCAGATTTAATTTTAGTGTGTCGCAAAGACAAAGAAGTGGTGTGGCTCACGTTATAATGTCAAACAAACTATCCTTTTACGTAAGCAATTGATTCTTATAAGAAATTAGCGAATTTTTGTTCTTTATTTGCATGTCTTAAAAGCATAGTGGTCAGAATAATGATTAGTTTTTTTTTAATTTTTTTTTGATTTGTTTTATTTAAGTTTAATAAACCGATAAGAAACAAAATGAAAAAAAAAAAAACAACAAACAAAATAAAATGTGTTTTGCTATGCTAACAATTTTTTTTTCCAGCTCATACATGTATTTTCAAAAATACACAAAATTTATAGAAATCATTGCCTGCTTCTAAACTTGATGTCTGTGTAATAAAGCTCTAAACTAAGAAAATAATAGAGCAATAAGATTCAGCCAAAGTAAGTAAAATTCAGTTTAACTATTATGTAGACAAGTGAAATGTTTCAAGTTACATTTTGTTTCTTTCTAATCGTTTTTTGTTTTAGCCCTTGCAATTTTTTTTTCTTCTCGAATTCTTTATTACATGGTTTTTGTATGTATTTTCACACTTGTTTTTATCCAAGTTATGGTAACAATTATATTATTGCATCAGAAATTTCATGTTTTCAATAGTGTTATAGTGTGCTGTTTGCTTGTTTAACTGGTTACAATTTTAGTTATAAAGTATAAAGTAAATGGTCAATGCAAATAAGAATTATGAATGTCACTCCAGCGATCATTTTGTAAGCTACTTAGTAGTTAGATGTGAAGCTTTTTAATATTTTGTTTTTCTTTTCTTATTTTCTTTTCCCTTTAATCATTTCATGTTTAGTGCAATAAAAGACAAAGCGGTGGTCTTGCTTTTATCAAGTAAATAATAAACTAACAGTTTAGAAATGAGAATCTCTTTACATTGTGCAACGAGAAATCAATTGTTTTTTGTTTTTTTTATTGAAGTTTAATGTTTGGCTAGCTTTTTTGCTAACATTTGTTTTAGTAGTTCGTTAAAATATTTGACAAAAAAGCGATAAATTTATATACTGCAGATATTTTAAATAAATGTTTTTTCTCCTTAACTTTCAAATTATGGAATCATTAGACTGGATCGATCTGCAAATGTAAGTTTAATAAAATGTTTCAAAGTACTTTTTGTTTTATGCTGTTTGTTTTTGGTTTGGCGCTGTCAATATTTCAGTTTTAGCTCTATGTGTCTTTGGCGTGGCTCTTGGTTTTACCTCAAGCGAAGGTAACAGATACAAATTCGAATCTGTTGATTTAAGTTTTTAATCCTATTGAGGTGTGATGTTTCTTTGCTTTAAAAGTTTCAATTTTAGCTATAAAGTATAAGATAAAGACTAGCTATAGCTATAAAGTATAGATGTAAAATGTGGAAAAGAAACATTAAACTCACTGATTGCCAAAATTTGTAAGCTTCTTTTTAATTATATGTAAAACGTCAATTGATGATTTTTTTGTTTTGTTTTTTGTTTTGATTTTTAGTTGTTGTTTTTTTTTTTTTTTTCTTTTTCCACTAACGAGTTCCTATTTAGAGCAGTTTACAAACATAGAACAGAGGTCTAGTGCACATATCGTGGTTTGTAAGCTATTCACTTGAGGTCTTTTTAAAGCAATGCATGATTTTCAATTCTTGTACTACAAGTATTAAAAGTAATGATTTCAAACAATGTTTTTCTGTTTTGTTTTTTTGCTAACAATTTTATTATTAGCCCGAAGAACACTCTCTTTTAAAAAACCAAGTTCAATCATTGTGAACAGAATAAACGATCAGCTTTTAGTAAAGTACTTTCTTTTACCTAAATCTTGTTTTTAATGTCAAATTATAGACTGTCAAAGAGCAAAATTATAAATGTTGTATTTGCCGATTCAAAATGCTGTTTATTTAGGTTTTAGGTTAAAGTTTTCTCGTATTAGTGCAATTTTAAAGTAATGGTCTCCTGTATAAGGCTATTAATACGTTTACAGTTAGACAAATGTTCTGTTTTACCGTTTCCTAAAATGTGCAGTAAGACTGGTAATTTTGTTTTGTTCTTATCATGTTATTGTTTTTGTTTTGTTTTTTTCACATAAAGTTTTTTGCATTAAACAAGAAAATATTCATTGGTGGTCTGTTTAGTTTTCCGTGTATGATCCAAACGCAGTTTGTTTCATTTAAGTGCGTCTTCCTACATGCTAAGTATATGCTTCAATTGTTAGTTTTTGTGGTCACAAAATTTAAGTGCGTTTTTCTACATGCTAAGTATATGCTTTAATTATTTGTTTTTGTGGTCGCAAATGTTTTTTTTTTCTTTTTATATATCGTTTTTGGGTTGGGTGTTAATCAGATTTACATTTAGTGTGTCACAAATACAAAGAAGTGGTGTGGCTCACGTTATAATGTCAAACAAACTATCCTTTTACGTAAGCAATTGATTCTTATAAGAAATTAGCGAGTTTTTGTTCTTTTTTTGCATGTCTTAAAAGCATAGTGGTCAGAATAATGATTAGTTTTTTTTTAATTTTTTTTTTATTTGTTTTAATTAAGTTTAATAAACCAATTGGAAACAAAAAGAAAAAAAAAAAAACATCCAAAATAAAATGTGTTTTGCTATGCTAACAGTTTTTTTCCAGCTCATACATGCATTTTCAAAAATACACAAAATTTATAGAAACCATTGCCGGCTTCTAAACTTGATGTCTGTGTAATAAAGCTCTAAACCAAGAAAATAATAGAGCAATAAGATTCAGCTAAAGTAAGTAAAATTCAGTTTAACTGTTATGTAGACAAGTGAAATGTTTCAAGTTAAATTTTGTTTCTTCCTAATTGTTTTGTGTTTTAGCCCTTTCAGCTTTTTTCTTCTTGAGTTTCTATTTTATGGTTTTTGTATGTTTTTTCACACTTGATTTTATCCAAGTTATCGTAACAATCATATTATTGCATCAGATATTTCATGTTTTCAATTGTGTTATAGTGTGCTGTTTGCTTGTTTAATGGGTTACAATTTTAAGTTATAAAGTATAAGGTAAATCGTCAATGCAAAAAAGAATTATTAATATCACTCCAGCTATCATTTTGTAAGCTACTCAATAGTTAGATGTGAAGCTTTTTAATATTTTGTTTTTCTTTTCTTATTTTCTTTTCCCTATAATCATTTCATGTTTAGTGCAATAAAAGACAAAGCTGCGGTCTTGCTTTTATTAAGTAAATAATAAACTAACAGTTCGGAAAAGAGGATCTCTTCACAATGTGCTTTTAGTAAGCAATTGTTTATTGTTTTTTTATTTAAGTTTAATGTTTGGCTTGCTTCTTTGCTACCATGTGTTTTAGTAGTTCTATAAATTATTTGACAAAAAAGCGATAAATTTATATACTGCAGATATTAAATAAGTTTTTTTTCTAATTAACTTTCATATTTTGTAATCATAATATTTTCTATTAGTTTTTATTAAGTAAACAATAAACTTGTTTCAAAATACTTTTTGTGTTATACTATTTGTTTTTGGTTTGGCGCTGTTAATTTTTTAGTTTTTGCTCTATGTTATATTCACGTCACTCTTCGTTTAGCCTTAAGTGATGGTAATAGATACAAATTTGCATCTGTTGATTTGAGTTTTTATTCGTATTAAGGTGTGCTGCTTCTTTGCTATAATAGTTTCACTTTCAGCTCTGAAGTATAAATTATTTTATTTTTTGCTTTAAAAAGGTAAATACTAGCTATTGTTTAAAGTATAGAGGTAAATTTCGTTAAAGAATTATTAAACTTACTGACTGCTACAATTTGTTAGCTTATTTTTAATTTGATGTTAAACAATAATTGTTGTTTTTTGTTGTTGTTGTTCTTTAGTTGTTGTTTTTTTTCTTTTTTCACTAATGAGTTCCTATTTAGAGCAGTTTACAAACTATTATAAATAGGTTAAAAAGAATACTTTTTCTTAAGGAAGAAAAAACTTATTTAAATTAACTATAAATACAAGAACTCTACTTAGCTATAACAACCATAAAATTTATGTCTCTCTATAATAACAACAAGTTAAAACGTTTTCTTCAATTTCTCTTACCCAGACTCTCAGGCACCAATGCTGACAGGTTTTACGTCCATATTTTGCCAGAGGCTGGATTACACATTTATACAAGTCCTTTAGGCATAATTTATTTTCGTTTTCAATAAGCTGGTTTATGACAGGATCTACCTGACGTTTGTTTTTTTTTAGCAATTGGCATAGTAATCGACTTTGTTGACAAAGTTTCTCTGATCCAATCTCTTTTCTTTAAAGTGTTCACATACTCTGCTGGGATCAATATTCTTGTTAATTGGTTAGCATTCATCATTCATGTTATCTCTCGGAACTGATATTTCATTATAGGTATTTGATTGCTTAACAATGAACTATTGATGTCATTTGCTGTTTCAACTGTAGGTTTAGTGCAAACTTTCACATGAGGTTTTACAATCTGATCTATATGCCTAATATGGATACGCTCATCTGTTGTTAGCACTCTATAGTTAACATTTTCAACAGCTTATACATAATTAATGAGATCCACTTCTCTCCCCTAATATAATTCCTTCATAAACAAGGTGTTCCGGTTGAAAAAATTTCAACCGGAACACCTTGTTTCTACTACTAAAACTACCTGTAAGACTTCTACTACTAAAACTACCTGTAAGCTGTTTTTCGTTGACCTAATAAAAGTTCAGCTGGAGAAACTCCAGTTGTGGAACATGGTGTTAAGCGATATTTAAAATAGAAGTGACACAATCGCTTCTCAGCATCACTTCCTTAAAAACTTTTTAAAAAGTTCTTAAAACTTTGAACTGTTCATTCTGCTTGACCATTTGAGGCTGGCTTATATGGTGCTGCATAGATTGGTTTGATTTTATTTGAAAATAAAAACTGTCAATATTCTTCATTCGATAACCCAGATCCATTATCACTAACGATAACTCCAGGTATACCATGGGTTGAAAACAATTTCCTAAGTACCCTAATTGTGGTTTTGGCTTCAGTGCTTTCACAACTTCCACTTCGATCCATTTTGAGAAACTGTCAACTACTACTAGGAATATATCCCCAATTATTGGACCTGCTTGATCAATGTGTAACCTCTCCCATGATCTACTCGGATAATCTGACGCATGAAACTCAGTTAATGGACACACGATTTCTTTGACAGGTTCCACAATTTTTTTCTTTGTTTTCAATTTCGGAATCGACTCCAGGCCACCAGACATAACTTCTAGCTAAAGCTTTCATTTTTCTCCCGGGTGAATATCATGTAACTCTTCTAATACTTTTTTTCGTAACACTTTAGGCACTACTACTCTTTGCCCTCACAACAAACAACCTCCTGTTAATAACTCAGAAAACCTAGATGTGAATGGTTTCACCTCCATTTTACTATCTTCCATAGTCAATCCTTTATCTAACACTTTATTTAGGACCACTCCTAATATGGGATCATTGTATATGGCTATCCTCAACTGTTTCTCTGTAATAAGGGTTTTTACTAGCTCCATCATAGACACATCCATAGTTTTTAAGCGTGACTTATTTTTTGATGCAGTTAATGGTAAACGGCTTAAACCATCTGCAGCTGCTTTTTTTTCGCCAGGATAGTATAGTAGTTTTTAATCATATGCTGACAGTACCAGGGCCCAGCGTAATACTTTTGCAGCAGCTCTTGCAGGAAGTTCCTTACCTTCTGAAAGTAGCTCCAGCAGAGGTTTATGATCAGTGTACAAAATAAACTTGTGCCCATATAAAAATTGATGAAATTTCTTGCAAAAACTAATGCTAATCCATCCTTTTCAATTTGGGCATAATTTCGTTCAGCCATACTTAATGTTCTTGAAGCAAAACTAACAGGTTTTTCACTACCATCTTCTGCTCTTGGCTCAGAACAGCCCCCACACCATGTGGACTGGCATCACAATGAACCAAGATTTTTTTTGATGGATCAAAGTAGGCTAACAATGGTGCATTGCATAACAAAGTTTTAACTTTTTGAAAAGCTTCACTATTTTTATTCCATTTCCAAAACACATTTTTCCTCAACAAGTTATGGAGCAGTTCTGTAATGGAAGCCATCCTGGGTAAGTAGGCATTGTAATAGTTAGCCATGCCTAAAAATGCTCTTAACTTTTTGACATTGGTGGGTTGTGGAACAACCCTGACTGCTTCCACGTTTTGGGCTGTTGGTTTGCAACCTTCTTGACTGATTATAAAACCACAGAATACAACTTCAGGTTGCATGAAAGAGCATTTAGATGCTTTAAGGGTTAATCCTGATTCCTTCAATATTCTTAATACGGATTCTAAATTGCTTAAATGCTCTTTATCAGTTTTACCAGAAATGAGTATATCATCCACTCATACTTTTGCAAATGGTAACTAGCCCAACCTTCTATCCATTTCTCTTTGAAAGATGCTAGTTGCACTATGAACACCAAACTGAAGACGAGTCGGCTGATATAAATCTTTGATGCGTATCTGTTAGAAACTCCTGTGAGAAGCTTCATCTAACAGAAGTTGGTGATATGCCTGTGACAAGTCGAGCTTGGTGTATTTCTGTCCTCCTGCAATAGTGGCTAACTGATCAGTGGTGTTTGGTACTAGATAGGTATCCAAAGGAGCAGCTTGATTTATTGTAACTTTCTAATCCCCACATATGCGTAACAGACCCAAAGGATCTTTTGAATTCTTTAGAATAGGAACTATAGGTGCTGCCCATTTTGAATACTGGACTCTTCTCCAAACCCCTTGGTCTTCCAAGCGATCCAGCCCTTGTTCAATCCTAGTCCTTAAAGCATACGGTACCGGTCTTGATTTAAAGAACTTTTGTTGTGCATCCTCACGTATGGGTATGAGACATTTAAAATCTTTTAAGCATCCCAAATCATCACTAAACACTTCTGGAAATTTGCCACTAATTCTTCTACCCACGAATCAAACCCATTGCAAAAATTAACATTTCTCATTCCTTTACACAATTCCACCCATTCTAGGTTCAGTCTCTGAATCCAATCTCTTCCCATTAATGTAGGCACATTTCCCTTAACTACAGTTATAGGTAAACAGAAAGATTGATCTACCTTAACCAGCCCTATTCCTTCTGGTCTAACAAGTTTTCCTGTATAAGCCTTTAACACCACTTCAGACCTTCTTAGCCTTTCATTATATCCTTTTATTCTTCTATAAGCTGAAACACCCATTACGGAAACAGCAGCCCCTGTGTCAACTTCCATTCCAACTTCTTTACCATTGATTCTTATATTAATCATAACTGGTCCATTTAACCTCTGAGATTCCTCACTTATTGAATACAAGGCTAAAAAATCACTTTTGTTTTCATCTGTATCAGCAGTGCTTTCTTTAGTTGATCCTTCACAAATTTCAATTTGCTTCACTCTTAATTTCATTTATTGATTCCCCCTCTTTCCAGTCTCTTTTGTAAAATTGAAATCGTTGTGCAATGAAGTTTGGGGTAGATTTTAATTGATTCCTCATAAGCATTATTATCTGAGTAAATGTTTTATTTTTAGTGTCATTTTCGCACAAACTACGAATAAGTTTGAATGCCGGTCCTCCGATAGTTGATAAAAACACTGCTTTTTGCAGTTCTGCATCTTTAATGTCATTAGCTATTAAATAATTTTCAAACCGTTCGATAAAATCATTTTTCTAAATCTAAATTCGATATATTAGCCAAATTTATCATTTTCACTTCGTCGCGAATTGTTATAAATAGGTTAAAAAAGAATACTACTTCTTTAGGAAGAAAAAACTTAATTAAATTAACCACAAATACAAGAACTATAATCAGCTATAACAACCATAAAATATATGCCTCTCTATAATAACAAGAAGTAAAAACGTTTTCTTCAATCTCTTTTACACGGACTCTCAGGGACCAACGCTGACACGTTGTACGTCCATATTTTGCCAGAAATCGGATTACACAGTTACAACCCAAACATAGAACAGAGGTCTGGTGCACATAAAGTGGTTTGTAAGCAATTCACTTGTGGTCTTTTTAAAGTAATGCTCGATTATCAATTGTTGTACTACAAGTATTTAAAGTAATGATTTCAAACAATGTTTTTCTGTTTTGTTTTTTGCTAACAACTCTATTAGTAGCCCGAAGAACACTCTATTTTAAAAAATCAAGTTAAATCATTGTGAAAAGAATAAATGATCAGCTTTTTGTAAAGTACCTTCTTTTACCTAAATCTTGTTTTTAATGTCAAATTATAGATGTCAAAAGGAGAAATTATAAATGTTGTATTTGCCGATTCAAAATGCTGTTTATTTAGGTTTTAGGTTAAAGTTTTTTCGTAATAGTGCTATAAAGTAGTGGTCTCCTGTTTAAGGTGGTTAATACGTTTACAATCAGCCAAATGTTCTATATCAACGTTTATTAAAATGTGCAGTAAAACTGTTAATTTTATTTTGTTCTTATCATTTTAATGTTTTTGTTTTGTTTTTCCACATAAAGTTTTTGCATTAAACAAGAAAATATACATTGGTGGTCTGTTTTGTTTTCCGTGTATAAATGAAACAAACTGCGTCTGGTTCAAACGCAGTCAGGGGCGGACTGGCCAAATTATTATGATGTGGAAAAATATTTTTAACGGCCCTGTAGGCCAACGAAAAATGAGGAAAAGCAGCAAAGATAACAGACGTAAATTACAAAGTTATGCTTAATTTATAAATATATACATTAATGAATAAATATCGAACAGAAAAAATTTATTAGAATACATATACGTAAAAACAAAGTACTTAACAACGGCCCATGTGGAATAGTCCACATCTTCCACATGGCCAGTCCGCCCCTGAACGCAGTTTGTTTCATTTAAGTGTGTTTTTCTACTTGCTAAGTATATGCTTTAATTATTTGTTTTTGTGGTCACAAATGTTTGCTTTTTTATCTCGTGTGGGGCTTGGAGGTTATGTATTTATCAGATTTGATTTTAGTGTGTCGCAAAGACAAAGAAGTGGTGTGGCTCAGGCTATAATATCAAAGAAACTATCCATTTATGTAAGCAATTGATTCTTTTATCAAATTAGCGAACTTTTGTTCTATTTTTGCATGTCTCTGAAACATTGTGCTCAGATTATTAATTAATTTTTTGCTTTTTGTTTTATTTGTTTTATTTAACTTTAAAAAACAAAATATAAATATAAAGGGAAAAAAAACAAACAAACTGTGTTTTGCTACGGTAACAATATTTTTGCAGTTTATAAATGCATTTGCAAAAATACACAAAATTTATAGAAAAATTTGCTGGCTTCTAAACTTGATATCTTTGTAGTAAATCCCTTAACTAAGAAAATATTAGAGCGATAAGATTCAGCCGAAGTAAGTTCAACTATTATGTAAACAAATGAGATATTTCAAGTCCTGTCATTTTTTTTTCTGTTAGAGTTTTTTTTTTATAGTTTTTGTAAGTTTTTTTACACTTGAGTTATGATGATAATTACATTATTAATTCAGATATTTAATGTTTTTAATAGTATGCTGTTTGCTTGTTTAACTAGTTACAGTTTTAGTTATAAAGTATAAGGTAAATGGTCGTTGCAAAAAAGAATTACGAATATCACTCCAAGCATCATTTTGTAAGCTAATTAATAGTTAGATGTGTCGGATTTTAATAATTTGTTGTTGTTTTTTTCTTGTTTTATTTTCCTAATAATCAGTTTATATTTAGAGCAAGGAAAGACAATGCAGTGGTCTTGTTATTAATAAGTAAATAATAAACTAACAATTTTGAAATGAGTGTCTCTTAACATTGTGCTATGAGTAGTCAATTGTTTTTTTCTTTTTTTAAAAATTCAATGTTAGGCTTGCTTCTTTTCTAACATTTGTTTTAGTTTTTTGTTTAGTTTTTTATTTATTTTATTCAAGTTCAAAAAAACAAAATGAAAACAAAATGGGGGAAAGAAAAAAACAAAAAACACTAAACTTGATATCTTTTTACACTCAAAAAACACTAAACTTGATATCTAAACTTGATATCTTTTTTATCATTAAAGTCCTAAATTATGAAAGTATGAGACCAAATTTGTTTTGCAACAAATTGTTCACAGTTTCTTTATTATGTAGGCAAATGTATTGTTTCAAGTTATATTTTATTTCATTTTAATTGTTTTGGATTTTAACCTTGTCAATTTTTTATTTTTATTTTTTTTTTTGACATGTTGATATTGCATCATATGATTCATGTTTTGAATCGGTTATAATGTGCTTCTCAAGATTATTTACTACTGCATGTTAAGCTTTACTGGATTTAAGAAATGAGGCAGCAAAGTAGGGCAGGATTAAAAAAAAGTCTTGTTTATCATAAGGAATGACCTTTTGTAAACTAAATTGGAAATTCAAAAAAAAACAAAAAAGTTTGGAAGTGGGCAAAATCCCTAACATACTACCTATGAAATAATAAGGCAGGAAAAAAGTTAAATGATGTGCAGTGCCTTTGTTTTGATGGACGCAAGGATATAATTTTAGTGAGTATAAAAAAAATAGCTTAATTAAGTACGAAGTTCATTTAACTTCGTTAAACAAATTTTTTTCCGATACCAAATGCCAAATAATCATTAAACTTCAAATTCAAAGTTGATCGAATATTTGTTCTCATAAAACTTCGTTCAACAAGTACTATTCGTTAAGAATCTAAAAGCCAGTTTAATCACTAATAATTTCTACAGAGAATCATACAAAGTATGATTCTCTGTAGAAATTATTAGTGATTTGTACACAAATAATTCCATTTGAGCCTTATTCTCGTACAAAAAAATTCCCTCGAGAACGCATATAAAAGCCAAGTAAAAATTATGAAAACTAAAAATACAAAAGAAAACAGCGAACATTTATTAGAAGACATTTATTAAAATACATTTTTAAAAATTTATTAAAATACATATTTAAAAAAAGGATAATTATTAGTTTTTGTTTTTATATGTTTTATTAGAAATAAATACTTGGTTTCTCTTTTTTGATATCTTCGTTTAAGTGAATCTTACTGTCTATGGAAAGTTTGTGAAATATTATTTTTTATTTGCTTTTTATTGTTAACATTCCTTTTTTTTTTTTTACTTTTATTTATTTTTTCATCGTCACTTTTATTTATGCATAGTTTGTTAGCGTTTTGTATCATTTCTTATAGTCATAGTTTATCATTGTTCATCGGCTATCGAGGAGTTTTGTATCCGCATGGGTAAAAGTGAAAAAAAAGCGTCTTTTAAAAATGAAATTAAAAAATATTTTTTTATAGTAAAATATAATTATTAGTATAAACAATTATTTTTGGCGTAGTGTGATTATTTACTTATTTTTAATGTGATGATTGTTTTGGAAAATAAATATTTTTAAAGAATTTTGTTTACATTACATATTTTGTGTCGAAATGCCTAAAGTAAGTCCGATTTGGCAATAATTTGACAAAAACACACCTGAAGAGGGAAAAGCTGCTTGCAAGTATTGTGACAATGTACTCAATATACCACAGCGCTCAACTTCTACTCTTCATACGCATCTTAAAGAGAAACATCCAGTTGTTAACACACAATTTGAGGTCAACATAAAGAGAGCTGCAGAAGAAGAATTGTTTAAGCAAGCAAAAAAAGCAAAAACTACTTCTGGTTTAGCCAAACCCTATAATGCCTCAGACTCTAACAAATCAAATTTGACTACAATCTTACGGCCATGTTATGCACAACCAACACTCCATTCAATCGTGTATCCACGGATGGTTTCGTTAAATTTATTAGACCAATTGACTCAAAACTCACAATCAAAGACTCCATAAATTATTATCGAAAGGACATTCCTGAATTAAAATAAAGCACAGATGATTTCAGCTAAAATGTTCCTACTCTCACAGGTGTAGCATTTACTACAAACATGACCAGCAGAAATAATGACTCTAACAGTAATTTGGTGCGTCACTACATCTCAATAGACTTTCAGCTCAAATCATTTCTTGTTGGAATGCACAGTGGGCCAAAATCATTATTAGCTGGACAAAAGTATTAACTTTTAAAATATTAATCAGATTTTCCTCATAATTGCCAGGTTGAACATATTTTATACTACGAATTTAATGGTACCATTAGATTGTTTATTTAGTTGCTATGGATACTTATATTCCATTTTGCATAGTTACCTAAGTTAAGAGACTATCTTAAAATGTCAAATTTATAAACTAAACTGATATTATTGCTACGATGCTATTTTATGTTTTTAAATGATGAAGCAAACAAAAATTAGTAATTTTTGGTGTTGCTACTCCGTTTTTGGCTCTTGGAAACCAGTTGTTATTATTATTTTTTAATAAACTTGCTTAATTCAAAATTTTTTTAATTCAAAAATGAAATTAAAACTTTAAAAACAATCTTACATCTAAGGGTTTATAGACACAGTTAATAAAATTCGAATCAATTGCATCTATGTAGTTCACATGTCCTTAGCAACCAAATAAAAATCATCAAGTGTTAAAACAGTTAGAGCTATTGAATACTTTATTAAGTTTATGTAAGAGTACAAGCAAATTTGTATATTCAAAAAAATGTTTATTTACATAACATGTAAAAAATGTTTGTTTACATAACATTATTTTATAATAAAATAATAAATACTAAAAAGTAAACAACACCTTGAATACCAACTAAAATCAAAACTATGCAATTGCAATTTATAGTTAGTCAAAAATTAAAACCTCTTTGAGTAAATTTAGAATGCCAATCAGAAAAGCATTACTCTTAGGATAATATGACTTTCTCAAACTACTTATCAAAGGGTCAAAAGAACATATTAGTTGCCTTGATAAATCTTCATTTTCTTTTTGACCGCAAACACTTTATGGAAAATGATTCTCAAAACTTCTTTAAGTTTTCATTTTGTGTTTCTTTTGCCTCTTAACTGAAGAGGCACAAGAAACTCAAAACTCCCTAAATAATGAAGTGTCAATTAGAAAGCTAAATAAAAATGTACACAAAATAACATGTAACATCTTTATCGTACTGACATCAAGTTCAAGAATTAGAGCAAACTTTTCTACATCCTAAAAAAGTCTTCTAGCAGTGCTTCCATTATTTGATGACCCAGAGCCACCAGATATTGGCATATCAACTACCAGTCCAACTTCGTCACGAAACCTTATTTGAATTTTTTGTTTTCTTCCTTGGATAATTTTTTCAAATGGTGCCCTTGTAGACCACTTTTTCACTGTTAATTTTAAGAAGACATTCCATGCTTTTATTTCAAGCATGGAAAGTTAAAAGGCCATAGCAGAGACCTATCTCTGTCAACGACATATTTTTAGCTTCTACTAAAAAATTTTGGTTTTCTATCTTAATTGTTGGCTGATTATAAATCCTTAGGCTAGTTGATCCATTAAACCGAACTTTAGAATGTAATGTTAGTCTTTCAAAATCATTCATAGAATTGATAACTTGTTTCTGCTGTATTAGGCGTATTGTTGTATGATCAACTAACGATTGAAAGTTTATTTCTTCAGAAAGACTATTAATAGTTCATAATTTTTTTTCAGCACAGCATTATTATTTACCAGCACGAACATTTTTGTATGCAAGATAGAGATTATAACCTTTACTCACAGCATTATTTCTCAAGTGTATGTAATCAGATTTGCTCATATTATTATCTAATATGAGTGCTAGAGCTTTTTTAGAGTATTTTGAGCATGTTTTGAATCAGAAGGCTGCTTAACAGATAAACTTTAAATTACTTTCACATTAATTCTTCTGTCATCTTCAAAAAGATTACAACTACCAGCTTATAACAGTTCATTTAAATAACTAGTTAATAAGTTGATAGCAGCTACTTTACGACTCTTTGTCTTATTTGATGAATTTTCAAATGATTTCACATGCTTACTACCAACTATAGATTTTGTTTTATTATCCTAATTTTTTGATGATTTAATAGTCTTTTTCTTAGGTTGGAGTTAGGAATGAGGTTACAAGAAGTTTTCATCAACTCTTCAACTTAAAGACAAACGTTTACAATACTTTGGAAAA